ACATCTGTGGAGTGATGGCACAGATTCAACGGTCAGCAATACGTTGAATTATTTTGTTGGTATTTGCATGCACAGTGTAGTAAAAATCAATGTAAATTCGGTGTAGGAAAAGTAACAAAACATAAAGAATATATGCCTTTGAGTTTTGCCTGCATGTGTTAATGCACAGTTTGAGTTCACAGTTGCCACAATGTGACCATCGATGCTATTCATTAGCCTGTCTCTGGTGTTTTGCATCGGGTGTTAGCATTAAGCTAATTGAGGGCAAAGCTGTGTGGTTCTATTCCATTGGTAATTGTCTTTGTTTGATGTTTAGTAGTAGAAATAAACAGCTTGCAGGCTCTGTTTGGAAACTTGTTCCTTATCTTCTAAACTGCTGCTTGTTTTGTTCCACCGACACCATACAGTGCTCGTTTCTCAAATTTTTCCTCATAATTCAAAGCAACAAAATCACCCGAATGACAGTTTTCATCTGGAAAAAAAAGTTGAAAAATCCCAAAGCACCACTGTATATCTCTTCTTTACTGTTGCCGCTTGAGCTGAGTGCCAAACGTTAGAAGATGCAACTCATTGCCAAGTCAAAAGAAAAAGAACAAGATTACCTTCTCAATCATATACATGCAATACATGTAACACACCAATTTTCTTCATCTGCTATCTATAATAGTAGGACTTGGATATGTGTTGAGTTAACCACTCGGGATACAAAAGTTAGTACGTCTGTATGGCTTGTAATATAAATGTGAGATGCGGGTGGCATTAAATTCATTTTCTTCTTTGCCCATGTCGAGTAATTGCAAATTGTGGCAAAATGTCGTCTTTTTTTTTTCTCTGTATAAATGTATCATAGGGTTGTTTGAGTTCTCAGGAAAAAGTTGATGTTTGAACCAATAAAAAAAGAACAATCAGTCAATCAAGAGATGTAAAACGCAATGACCGAAATTAAATTTGGCTCGAAACGTGAGACTGAACTGAATGATTTTGAGAAGGCTGTGTTGAAAGACTCTGCTGTACCACATTTGACCACACGGGAGCAGAAAAGTGTAACTCGGTTGCAAACGAATTGAAACGTTCCCTTGTTTGGACGTCGCACTACTGTACTATTCAGCAAAGTACATTTTAGCAACCATCCATCCATAATTACTTGCAGATTAGATAATTGTCTTTTAAAATGAAATGCCGTTTGCTCGTCCTGCAGTGTTTGAGAAAGTACACGGTGCCCTGGTCTAATTTCAATTTTTGCTCAAAAGGATCTCAAAATTTGAACAAGACACCATGTATAATGAGGTATTTATTATTATTTATGAGGCATGGTACGTAATTAAAAAACATTTTGCAGCTAGATTATCAATTTTAGTCAAACCAACTAACATTTTTTTTGGTATGAATAAAAGTTGCATACCTGTCTTGCTGTCATTGTAATTTTGTTAGATAGTCAATATTTTTTTTGTATGTTGCATAATAGGCAATAATAATTACGGGATAATTATTTTCTCTCCATCTCTGTGTTTGAAAAAAAAACATAAATGTCCGTATTCAAACTGAGGTACAAACAAATGTTTACACATTCTGAAGATATGAATATTTTTTTATGCTGTTATTTTTTTAAAGGCGTGTAATGCAAATTCAAATATTTTATTGGAGATTTTGTCTTCTTCTGTGACTCATTTAATTTCATTTGCATCTTAAATATATGTCAGCCAGTACCAACGGTAAATTCTATTTTTTTTTTTTTTATGAGGAAAATTAATTACCTTTTGTTTGATATTTTATGCTTGCACCCCCACCCCCACCCCTCCCCAGTGCCTCATCATCCACTGTTCTGAGATATATTTTAAACTCCATCACCCACATTTCACCCCCCAAATATTTCACATTAAAAAAAAAAAGTCTGAATCTTTTAAAGATCCCAAGGCTTTGTCGTGTTGGTTTTACTGTCGACAAATACGGACACCCAAGAGTAATTTCGATTCTGTGTGAAATTGGAGCATAATTGACTTTTTTTCCCCACCAGCAAACCTTAAAGAGAGCAGAACGAGGGCGAGAACTAAAGGAGTGGGGAGGGGTCGATGTCTGGCTAACTTCAATAGCCTCTCTGTGTCCATCCAATATGGAGGGCTAGCATGCTGAGAGCTGGCCGTGTCCATTCACACAGAGCCCAAACTCATAAAGAGCTCTCCTATGGCCCCCAAGCTGAAAGCCAGCCACCCAGCCAGCGAGCCGGCCACCAAAGCCCTGGTTGGTGCAAGCCCCTTCCATGGGAACTTGAAATCTGCAACGTAATCCCACTTGGGCCCCTGCAGGAGCCTTTCCAAATGAACCATGTGAGTCCTCATATCACCCCTTCATAAGTGTCTCCCGCCTAGGCCCGATCTGCACCTCCAGCAGCAACTCCATGGCCCCCTGTCATCTTTTTCCATCCCACCTCGCCCGCTTTCTTCTTTCCGGGGATAGACGACAAAAGATGGGGATCTCCTTGTAATTGCTTCGGAAGATTGAAAAGCCGACAGGGATGGCGGGCGGCCGCTTGGGGAAATTAGACGAGGCGCCGGGGGCCCGGCGGCCCTGCTTGGCCCGCCATGGATGTGCGGCCACTGGGATAAAGGAGCTGCCGGTGCTGGAGTGGTGGGCATCAATTCCAGGGCAACCACAGAAGGGGAGGGAGGGGGGGCAGGGTATGAAGGAAATGGCACACCTCAGCTGGAGGCCCCATTGTACATGAGAAAGAATGTTGAGGCCAAGGGACACCAAAGTGAATAATAAGGAATACAGATACAGTAAAAGTGAAGAGGAGGAAAGGTTTCATCCGCTATTGCAATTTTTTTTTTTTTTTTTACCTCAAATGATCTTTTCAGTCAATATCAAGTAGATGGAGGTCCATTGGACTACTACTACCCTAAATTTACTGCAGCATTGTTGTTGATATTCGTATTTCCCAACCAGGGCTAGCGTAATGCTAACACACGATGTAAAACAAAATTAGCAGCACACGTACATAGTCAATCGTACAATATTCACAGACATCTATTCTTTATCCTCTGCTTACAACTGTGACTATACCCGCAGCTTCCTGAGTCAGTTTTGAAGTTGTTCTTTGTCTGTGTATGTATGACTGTTTTGACTCGCTGCCCATCTTTAAAACCCGCCTCAAAACTCACTTGTATTCTTTGGCATTTGACTCAGATTTGATCTTAGTTTTACTGTTTGGTGCATACTACCATCTTTGTTACTGATTATTGCTTTATTGTTGTATGTATGTTAGTTGCTCCATGTAGAGCACTGTATGCAGCAATGGCTGTTTGAAAGCGCTCTATAAAGGAAATGATGTTTTAAGTTAAGGTAGGACCGGTTTTACTTGTGGGTGGGGTGTCAGAACGAATTCAACTTTTAACTCAAGGGACCTCTGTACTTTCTTTGACACCAAAATGCCACAAGATGGCGCCAGTTTGAAGGGAGTCCAAACAATAGGTTGAAGCGTACGATTTGTTTCAGCAGTCTCCAATGGTCTTGCCTTGTTTTGATCTAAATTAAAAGGGGTTGGGGGGGGGGCTTCTTTCGACAGCATGTACGTAATGCTAAAGAAAAAAAAAAAAGAAAAGGACACGTGGGTGAAGTGAGGAGGGGGCACCATCTTTTCATGCTACCTGTGCTCCGCATGGCGAATGTCGGCGCCCGATAACAAAGCCTCATTTGCATACATAATCCCATCTCTCAACCTTCTGATCAGGTGCGCTCGCGAGCACGGCTGCGTGCCCCGGAAAAAAGACGAGAGGAGGGAGGGCGGTTTGGGAATGGCGGGGAAACTCACTTTGAACGCCGTTTGAAGTTCTCTGGCGGAGTTCAAATAACACACAAACATGCGCGTGTCATTGAGTGGCTGATATGTATTAAAAAGAGGCGAGACGGCGCAGGGATGGGAGGCATGAAAGAAGGTCAGGGAAAGGAACTTTCTGGAGCTGCTTGTGAACCCAAACCCTTTGAGAGGATTTGTACACTTTCGATTTGTCATTCCAACATGATCTGTTGGATACCGCCGTTAGTTCTCAATGTTGCGTTGATGGTCGGTAGTCCAAAAGAGGCGGCCACCCGCAGTATTTTTGCTGCTTCGGCTATTAGCGCTGCTAGCCGCACTGCTGTCGTTCCTAAATATAAAGGGGTCATTAGCACATCAGAACGGCGATAAAGTGCCTGTCTCGAGAGTTGAACATCAGGGGGCCTTTTGTGAATCAGAACGTGGAATCACTATGCAAAGCGAGGAGGAGCTACGAGAAACTCACACCAGAACAAAGCGTGCCTATGTGTGAACTCATTATGAACACGTTTCAATCCTTTTATTAGACGACTTCTTAAAGCTTGGTAAATAGTTTTGGTGGACTGTACTGCGCAGACCTTTTAACTTGCTGATTATCGCCTTGTACGATACATATTTTAGCCAGAGGGTAGTGCTGCTGATCCAGTAATGATGCAAATCATTTACACAGGGCAAATGAGGCCTTCATTTCATTGGACTTTATTTATCCAAATAAAAATGGCATCCTAATCCATGTAATACAATGTGCTGACATGATTTCCCAATATAACCCAAATTAAATCAAAACTAATATATAATCGTCAAAATTAAATAAAAATGAAAGAGTTCCACTGGTAAAATTACAAAAACATATATTAAATACTGTATTTCAACATTTTTTTTGTGTGTGGTGAATAATTCATATTTAAGATGTATTACAGGTAGTGCACGTTCATACATTTGAAGATGTATACATCTAAATGCAAATATATATATACTGAACAAAATGTATTTCGTTAACTTAATCATTATACAATACAATACATGTTGATTTATATAGCGCTGTCACAACAGCGGCATCTGTAACAAAGCGCTTAACAAAACAGTTAACCTAAAGTAAAATAATAAACACAACACATAACATAAAACACGGACAGTCGTGCGGTCTATATAAATCAGCATGTATTGTATTGTATTGTAAACAGCTCCTGTAAGAACAGGGGCCCCGCAGGGTCAACCTCTACCTCCCGAGTATGGCCCACCCCCGAACAAAGGCCCGCATCCAGGCTTCCTTCCGCCACATCTACCTGGAGACGGGCCCATGCCAATGCAAATGCCCCCGCCAACTCAAGGTGACTCGCAATATCTAATGGACCACTGTTTCCACACCACCCACCAATGTGTTTGTCCTTGAAAATGCACACGATCTTGATTTAACATCAACTAGTTTAGTCATGCATTTTCCTATTTGCTTTCTTCTTTCCCATGAAGCTGGCATCTATCTACCCACCGCCGCCGCCCGGCCACTTCCCGCACCCCATTGGCCCCGTCGGCCCCGGCCCCTTCGTGCACATGGGCGGCTGCACTGCGACCACCGTCATGGCCCTGCCGGGCAGTGCCACCACGGTGACCGTGCTGCAGGGCGAGATGTTGCAGACGTCGCCGGTGCAGACGGCGTGTCCGCACTGCCAGCAGGCCATCGTCACACGCATCTCCCACGACGTGGGCCTCATGAACACCCTCTTCTGTCTCTTCTGCTTCTTCGTGGGGTGAGCAGCCAGCACTTGGTCTTTACATACTACAGATTCATCAGCATAAATTACAATTTGAAAATTATTTTGGGCCAAAGTACTCTTGAATGGAGAAAGGAGGTGGCCACATGCCCTCTAAAACCTAATTTCCTGTCGGATGACTATGTAGTAAAGTCGTCTCACTTTTTGAGATCAAACGAGTGATATAAATGAACTTCTGTAGGATATTTAAAAGATTGATATGCGCTTGTATTTTGAATTTCTATTCCAATGCCGTTCCTTTCAGGTGCGATTTGGGCTGCTGCTTGATCGACGACCTGAAGGATGTGACGCACACCTGCCCCTACTACACGTACAAACGTATATGCTAACCATCACGGACGTTTGCTCGCAGCGCTTACTCCCCCGCCCCCCTTTCCCTATCTCCACCTTTACGTTTGCAACACGTCACTCTCTTAATTTGTCTTTGTAAACCGAGTTCGTATATTGTCGATACCATTCACCCCTCATGTTCATGCAGAGGTTCGATGGGCAGCATTTTTGTTGCTCCCTCTTTTGTCAAAGTGAAGGCTTGTTACGATGTTATCTGTAGATGAATAAGTCATTTTGTTGGGAAGGCCTGCGAAACTGGTAAAAGTTCAGTTAGGTTGTCCCAAAGCATTGAAACGAGACGAGTCATTGGATAAATGCTGGTTTTTTCTCACCCATTGGATGCTCAGCGTCTCTGGGAGTCTTTGGACAGTGGGCGTTTATGGGCTCGCCCGGACGCTGAGCTTTTCTGCATGATGATTGGATGATCAGTCTGAGGCGGAATCTCATTATGATTGACAGCAAAATGAGCCAATCACCGATCTTTTGGTGGAGGCGTGCGTGGGAGCATTCTTCAATTCTCATTCTGTTCTGAGTTGAACTGGAGTCTTTTAAGAATCTTAGCGACACTCTCTTTGTTGAAAACGACGAGCGACAGATTCATATTTTATTTCTGGTGTGTTTTATTGGAGTTGCTTGTGTTCGCAGACTGACTTATATCACCACAGTTAAGACCCTGGAAAAGACACCTTGTTGGTATGACAGGGTCACAGATTATTTTCTTGAAAAGGAACGCAGAGTAGAATTCACGTGTAAATAAACAGACAGACACATTTTATGTAGTCCGAAATTGAGCTTCCCCTTCTTGACAGACCAGCATTCGCCACTGATTTAAGCCATGGTTGCATATTTCGTTTTTCTGAAGTTTGCTTTGAACACAGCAGTCAGGCTATGTTGATTCTGTTGGTCCTTCTTGCGCCGAAGTCTCTCTATGGTTTTGTGTAGACATCGTTTCGGATGACTACACTTGGTTCGAGGCACTCACAACACTGGAGAAGTTTTATTTTCAGTGCGGTCGCTACGACTGCACCGCTGAACTGATGTGCGTCAGCGCACCGTCACTGTCAGACGAACACAGAGAAGCTCCACCCCCTTTATTTTTATGGACACAGAACACGGTAACCTTCCACGCAAAATAGTTCCAAACAAGGAACAATCGCGTCAGTGGCATACACCGTAATCAACAGGCTACCTGCTCTTTATTCACCAGAGGCTCATCAATCTAGTCTCTTATTTCTCTCCCGAAACAGTGTCTTCTCCCGCTTGGTGTACCTTAGCCTTCTCCGCTACGTACAATTTCTGTACATAGCTTGAAATGGAGGCTCTCGTTGGCAATCCGTAGTGGAGTCGTTAGGCGCAATGCGAATGATTTCAGCTTGAGTCTAGCTGTGGACAATGTTGACAGGCTTGCATGCGGTAGCCATACATTTAGCTATGGCCTCAGCAAATGTGTTCTTCGTCGTGTTATCCATTTCCTTCGTTTTGAAATGATCCATAGCTGTCTGTCTTAGACGAGGGGGTGGAGTACTCACATCAGCTGTGTGCTTGGCCATTAAGTGGTATTTCAGACTCTACGTGCTCCGATGATAGCTCAGTTTACGACTGCAAACCATACAGGTAACTTTGGTCCTGTCAGTGGAACAATCTGTCAACTTTTTAAAAGTAAAATTTCCATTCATAAACTCTTACGTGTGAACGCTCCACTGGCGTAGAGTCGGTGCAGCGTCGGAGTAAATCTTGCCGTGTGAACAGGGCTTTAGTCACGTTAAAATTCATTTAAATTCATGCCGATAATAACGCGCTAAACTGGCAGCTCTAGTTTAAATGTTTGTAATATGTGCATGTATTAACGTGTTCGTTTTGTTTTCTCTTTACTGAGAATTGTATGCTGACTTGTTCAAGAAAGATTGTTTAAAATTAAAAAAAAAAAAAGACTGAAGTAAAATCTGGACGAAGTGGGTGTGTGAGAACTCCCAACACCTAATCAGCGCAGAGCGCAGGCGAGGAAGCATCCTCGATCGGTCTATTGAAGTTGCACTCACGCTGCACATGCAATGAGCGTGCATTCAAAGAGATACGCGTGCGTGTGCGCGTGCACGCTCGGGCAGACACACGTGCACGCGGGGACGCCCTGAATATGTTCATACCCAAACACAAACACAAAGTGTACTGCTATCTGAGTAAAACACCTCTTGTCAAATCTTCTTTCTCGCATACATGCGCGCGCACAGACTCATCACTTACTCATGCTCACATGCACGTCACTGAGTTGGCCACTCACCCCTTCTTTCGCACACGCTCAGAGAAGGATAAGAGGAGGCTTTGCCGACCCTTTGGTCAAACTGCTTCAAACGCTTTGTTTGAAGCAGTTTGAGATGAAAGAGAATCAAAGTGTCCTTTCACCAGTGGATCAGAGACGCCATGCTCAAAATGCGCACAGGTCGGCGACAAGGCGAGTTTCAAAGTCAACAAGAAGCTGTAGCATCCATTGACAAAAATAAGAGATCGGTTCACTTCTCCTGTCCCATGGAAATCCATTTCAATTCCAAGCGGCGACTCTCAGTTCCAAATACGCTCCTCTATCCTCATGCTCAACTTCAGCCGCATACATTCATCAATAACAATTCATTTGCAATATCTTGAATAAATAATCATGAAAAGACAAAAAATGAAAAGAAAAAAAATAATAGTTGTATTGCGTCATTTCTGGTCGATCTGACCGACTTGCGTGCGCTGCGCGCGTATTCAGCCCTCTTTACAACTCGGCTGGCCAAGATGGCGGATGCACAAGTATGTTCGAGAAAACGGCCCGGGTATTGCAAACGACTTTTTACGTTTTAGCCAACACACAAGCCCAATTTTATTTAATATACATTCGCATGCGGTTCTAAGAACGCGCTGGTGGTGGTTTTTAGAAGTGTAGTAGATATTTTAGATGAGGAATCTGTTGGAACTCCGCTTACCCTCGTGTGACGCTACGCTAGCAGTCGGAATGCTAATGCGGTTAGCTTAGCCACCTTCACGTTCTCCGTAGCTCGTCTTAAAATCACTTTTGTCGTTGTTCTTGGTCGTGCTGTGAACGCGTACTTTTGTCCTTGTGCAGACAGAGAGGGCTTATCAGAAGCAACCGACCATTTTCCAAAAGAAGCAGCGTGTTCTGGCCGCCCATGGAGGCACGCAGAGCAAAGGAAAGCTCCCCCGTTACCACAAGAGTGTCGGGCTGGGCTTCAAAACCCCAATAGAGGTCCATTTTCAAGTCCTGTTCAAGTCTTAATTGAATCTGCAAGTGATGTTTCTATCGCGATGGTCTTCCTAGCCTGCAGGGTTTTGGCGACGATGCCTTTTGGCAGAGCTGATGCGATTTGATGCCATCTAAAATGGCGCATTTCGTTTAATTAACAGTGCCTAATATGCTTGTTGTTTTGTCCCCTCAGGCTATTAAAGGCACTTACGTGGACAAGAAATGCCCTTTTACGGGAAACGTCTCCATCCGTGGCCGTATCCTCTCTGGTCAGTATATTAAAGGCTATCCAGTGATGCTTGTGAATTGAATTCGGTTCATGCTTGTAACACGAAGCACTCATTACGGCACCATTGTATGACGTGAACTGTTGCTGCCCTTCGAACGATGTTCATCTCACGATGGTCTTCCGAGCCTGTGGGGCTCTGAGGACAAAACAGAACGACAATTCTGATGAAGTGTTGGGACAGGGCTTCCATAGTGGTTTTTCCGCACTTCTAGGAGCCACTGTACACGATTTTTTTAACACCCCCCACCCCTCAAGATGGCGCCCGGGTAGGCAGCCTCTGGCAAGTGCTCTTCAAGTACCTTGCTTTTTTGTTGTTTTTGTTTTGTCACGTTTGTTGTTTCGTCGTGAGGACCTGATGTGGACTGTTTTCAGTGTTTTTTGGCCACGACATTCGTCAAAGGAGACGAATCTGCTTGGTGGTTGCGCCTTCTCGGCAGCACAGATTTTGATTGGGAAGAATGTCGGCGCCATTGACTGTCGGTGCTGGACAGCCCCGGGGTGCTTGTGTTTTCTGTGCCTGTAATGGGCAGCATTTTCACAGTCCCGTTTTGTTCAGTGGAGATATCGGCGCTGTTGTGCGGCTCGATGGATGGCTGCTGAAGTTGAGCATGAATGAGGAGAGAGGAGCGTCGGCGCAGAGCGCCGACGCGTATTTGGAACTGAGAGTCGCCGCTTGGAATTGAAATGGATTTCCATGGGACAGGAGAAGTGAACCGATCTCTTTTTTTCGTCAATGGATGCTACAGCTTCTTGTTGACTTTGAAACTTGCCTTGTCGCCGACCTGTGCGCATTTTGAGCATGGCGTCTGATCCACTGTTGAAAGGACACTTTGATTCTCTTTCATCTCAAACTGCTTCAAACAAAGCGTATGAGGGAAAAGTGGATAGGACCGCACGACTGTCCGTTTTTTATGTTATGTGTCGTTTATTATTCCACTTTACGTTAACTGTTTTGTTAAGCGCTTTGTTACAGCTGCACTCGGAAGAGGGAGCACATAACTCCTACTCTGGCAGCCCTTCGCTGGCTCCCCATACATTTTCGAGTTATTTTCAAGGTCCTCTGATTTGTTTTCAAATCTCTAAATGACCTCGCGCCACCTTACCTCTCTGAGCTCATCCGCCCCTACACACCTGCCCGTCGCCTCAGGTCTGCGGACCAGACATTATTAGAAGTACCAAGAACTAAACTGAGGCTCAGAGGGGATGGAGCCTTTTCTGTTGCTGGTCCCGCTCTCTGAGGTCACCTCCCACTGAGCATTCGGCAAGCCTCCTCGCTGCCCGTCTTTAAAACCCGCCTCAAAACTCACTTGTGTTCTTTGGCATTTGACTCGGCATGACTTAAGATTTGTTCTTGGTTTTGCTGTTCGGTGCTTTCTACCATCTTTGATACCGATTTGCTTGACTGTTGTACATGTTAATTGCTCCATGTACAGCACTTTGTATGCAGCGATGGCTGTTTGAGAGTGCTCTCTAAATACAGTTGAGTTGAGCTGCCGCTGTTGTGAAAGCGCGATAAAAATCAGCACGGATTGTATTGTACTGTTGACATTTTTTTGTGTCGTGCAGGCGTGGTGGCAAAAAATAAAATGCAGAGGACCATCGTCGTCAGACGGGACTACCTGCATTTTGTCAGCAAATACAACCGCTTTGAGAAGCGGCACAAAAATCTGTCTGCCCATCTTTCGCCGTGTTTCAGGTACCTTCAACCCAGTCTTGGATTTCCCCAGCTCAATTTTTACCTCTGCGCGTGATGTTTTTCTCACGATGGTCTTCCAAGTTAAACTCTGACGACATCGCCTTACGGCATTGCTGATGCAGCCTTAATTCTTCAACAATGAGAGGTTCTGTTACTTATTTTTTTGCTCCACGTTTTTTGTTCTTCCCCTTCTCTAATGCAGGGATGTCTCGATCGGAGACATCGTGACGGTCGGGGAGTGCCGACCGCTGAGCAAGACCGTGAGGTTCAACGTCCTCAAGGTGACAACGGCGGCTGGTCACAAGAAGCAGTTCCGGAAGTTCTAAGACTGGCGGGAGAAATGTCACCTGAAAATAAACTGTTTGAATATGATCTTTGTTTTGTGTTTTATTCTTTGAAATGCACGGCTGACATCCTACCAATTTGGCAAGGTATGATGGGCTAAAGTATGCGGGTTAGTCACAACATTGGGTACATCGACACAATCGAATGAAAGATGCCCTGTACCAAAGACTTGTAGGAAGGTGAGCAATGTCCGGGAACTGGTGTAAGAGCAGAACGAGGAGGAGAGCCCAGCCACTGGGAGCGGAGCCTG